TGTAGAAGCTGGAAAAGATGCAGGAGAGTATCCTGTTTACACAGAGAAGCTAAGGGAGCTGAGCTTGTTCAGTCTGGAAAGAGGGTGATCTAACAGGTGACATAGTAGCAGCCTAAGTTACTTAAAGGAAAATAACAAGGGTAGAAAAGCCAAATTCTTCTTCCTAGTGCCAGATAATACATAAAGGGGGAATGACCATAAACTGCCACTTGGGAGGTTCAAGTTGGCTCTTCCGTTCTTCCCTCCCCATGCCAAACCCCCTTTTACCAGCTGGGTGTTGCAGACCTGCAGGTTACTCAGCAAGGTGGTTGGACCTCCATCCAGTGAAGCTTAAGGCCTGTCTAGACAAAGCCTGGCTGACACAACTGGGAAGAGCGTGTCTTCCAGTTATATTGGACAACTTCTAAAGGTCTCTTCAAGCAACATTTAAGTGATTACTATGAGCACATACAGAATCACAGATTGCCTCAGGTGTGGCAAAATGCCGCCGATTTATACTGAGGTGCATCTAAGTATCCACCATCATCCACTGTCACTCCCTGAATGAAAATGTGTACAAAAGTTTAGTACCTAATGAGATCTGCTTTACCACATTATTTATTTTGTCAACCCTGTTATTTGTTATTTGTAAGCATCATGCTGTTATTTGTTTCTTAAAGCATGTAAAAAGATACTGTTATCCTAACAACATCAGACCCTGACTCTGAAACAATGCTTGAAAAGGTGAAAGCCATAGATTTACACACAGAGCACCTGGAGCTAGTTCATTAGATGGCTGAAGATGGATAAAGAGATAAAATAATTTCTCCTACTTTCTGACAATAGGAGAAAAGCAAGTACTACTGGCTTTTAAATCACAGTGTGGAACCTTCCTAATTATACAAATGGCACAGTATGATGCTGTTAGCTCACATGCAAAGATGATGGTGCTCAATAGCCATCTGATCATTAGTAAGCTATGTCCTTTCCGGCAGATCTGGAAAACTAAAATAGCTAGTTAAATCTCTGATGGCATCATTAGATTTTTATTTTTTTTCCCAGAAATAATTTTTTCAGCCTTTTCCCATCAATAATGCAAAAGACAAGAAGAACATCACACAGGCTCTTAAATTCATCTAGCACTGTATCTTATCTCCAGCGGCAGCAACAGAGGATGCCCATGGAAACACATCAATGCAGGTCACGCAAAGAGATACAGCCCTCGTGCACACATCCAGCCCTGCAATTTGTGATTCAGAAGCATCCAGAACAAAAGGTGGTGGCTTTGTAAAGAGAAGACCATCTCCACAAAAAAATGGCACAGATTTATGCATGGAATATATTACAAAGAAGTCAGTAAGAAACAGAAACTTTATTATTCCTGAAATAAATCCAACACGTTAAATTAGGAAACTTATGCAACTAATTATATCCAACCAGTGTAAACAGCATCAAAGAGCAGTATTTTTTCCTGAACGCCTCATGCCATGTCTTTTTCAGCATGTCAATTAAGAGTAAAAATAATACAAAACCCTTATGGCAACTGAAGATGAAACCCAGAGTTAAATTTGCAACAAATCTGGTATTCTTCTTTGATTCTAAGGCAATATCTATACATTTTTATCAAACCAAACAACCAAAAATAATCTAAATAAACAGCTACAATGGAAAGAAATCCTATGACATCCCAAGACAACCCTTTTGAAAAGTTACAGTATCACAGCATTTAATGTAGGCACACGTGTGTTAAATATGCACATGCTCCATGTGTAGGTGATGTGGTGTGGCATAAATATTTTACTAGCAGGAGTTTAAGTTACTGACTCATGACTCACAAATGGTATGAATGTTCTTTTCTGATTTTATAAGCATTCATATTTTCGGTCTTCTTGAATGGTTAAGAGCAGAAGACTGAGGTATATGAAAAGCACTTCTCCAAAAACTGGTGGAAAGGTCTTATATATTTAACTAGGGTTTCCATGTAAATTGCTACTGAGGTGCACAAAAAGAGCCAAGAAATATGCGATTTATGGCTCTATTCCCCAACACAACCATACTGAAGTCAAAGGCCCTTGCTCAAGAATGAATTCTTCCTCTAGTAGCAGAATTGTGCAGAACAGCTGTGTTTTCCAGCATTTGGCAAGTTCATGTTTACAAATAAACTCACCAATTGACTTCTCAATGTAGGTCACAACACTTGCTTCTCAGGTGGTTGGCAGGTTTTTCTCTTATTTGAAAGGGCAAAAAGAAAAAAAGAGTGAACTGTGCGTAATTCTGAGCTTTAAAAGTGCTTTTTACTATGGAAATGAGGAATGAAAACATTACTGCAGGGATGGTTTCTTACTTGTAACTACTGCTTAACTCCCCACCTCTTACTTCAAAACCAACAGACAAAACTAAATAAACTTCTAGATCAAAGAGTTTAAACTTAAACTCTGAAACCACCCTTGCATTACTTCAACCCACGTATCAGAGTCAGCTTCATTTCTGGAGACCAATGATCTTCACAAAAAGTCTCACCGCAGATAGCCCAGTCCTGTCACCGAAATACTATGGTGCTGTAATGGGCTCTGCTGCAGTCAAGAATAGCTCAGCAGAGGTAGGAGCAGACATCTCACCTATGGACTTGGCAATGTCTTTGCAATTCTAAGCTACTTGTCCCAAGACTTTTTTTTATGATTATTTATTTATAAAAAACAGTTGACTCTTTTGTGTTTTGTTTTCTTTTTAATTCTGTAAGAAAACATTTTTTCCAAGATGCAATTGCATTTGATCAGGTGGCTGGAAAAAAACCTGAGCCTAAAGCAGCAAAAATACTATCTGAGTATCTGGTAGTCATTAAATCAGAGTTACATAAAAACATTAAGATAATTTATAGAGTGGCAATGAGGATGGCTGTCAAATTGAAATCCAATGGAACTTTAAATGTACCTTCAACTCTGTAGCAGTGACAGATCCTTAAAGGTAATATTATTACTAGGTGTCTCTACATTACAGTAGTTTCAAGCTCTTTCACACAGATCTGCTCAGATAAAAGATATAATGTTGGCATTTGCAGCTGCCAGAATTGCCATTTGCAATTAAAAATTAAAACTGGCACTCTTTCTATGCAGGCAATTATCTAAACGCAGCTGGCAATCTTCCTTGTTTACAGCGCTGCTGTGTCATGACTTCACTCTGTTTGGAAATCTACTCTTTTTTTTGAGGTTTAAACTTGTCAACCTTACTTCCCACTTGAACTTTGCTTGTTTTAATGATTTTCATCATAATCTCAAAGAGAAAGCTCCAAAACTACAATTCACAGATTCTGTGCAGCAACTTCAGAAACTGCAGCAAGATAATTCCCCGTAAATACTTTAGTGATTCTCACAGCATTCATTTAAATCCATCTATGCCGCAGGATACCACCTGTAAGAACCTAAACAGCAAAATATACCAAATAAGCACCCTCCAAGAAGAAAGCTCAAGCTGTAACAGTTGATTTTCTCAGTAAAACAGAAAATAGGCAATCTTAAGTGGACAAAGACCCTTTTCCTCAAAAAAGTACAATATTAAGTATGCTTCTATTGCTTGTTATCTATTGCCATTTTTATCTACTAAATGCATCTATCCACAAAGTATATACTCAGACTGCCATGTTTTTGGCAAAATATTTTTTCACTTATAAAAACTTCTACTAAAGTAGGATCTGGGGGTTCCCCTGCTGCTGGAGAAGGAGCACTCTGCATGCTACAGAACAGGGAACAGTTGCCTTTTTCCTGAAGCAGCTGTAATCGCTAGCTTGGTCCGTGCAACTATCATGGAAATACAGTTACCTACAGCAGATAAATTAAACGTTCTGCTTTATTTATGATATATTTTCTGTAGTCAGAGAAATGCCTTGTGTTATACACCCAATACAGTAATGCCTGTCACCCTTCTGTAATTTATCACAACGTTTTTATCTAGAGCTATGATCCATGCAACAACTCCTTGCCAAACTGTATTGCACGTATTGCTCGGCCACCCAAAAGACTTTTGAGTCGGGCGTTTCCCTCGAATATTACCAAAACCTGCAAAAAGAGGGGCCTGCTAATGAACTAAGGCACACCACCTACCATAGGGTATACTTTAAGCAGCCCCGGGTGCCCATCACACAGCTCTCCCAGGCGCTTCTCTTTAACTAAAGCAGCCCAGGTTTGTCAGAGCGCTGACGGTACCGCTCCCCACATAGTGAAGCGACGGGACGCTTATTTTAGTCTCTGGCTCTTTCAGAGTGAGGGCGATGGGAGGATTCACTTGCGAAGAGAAAAGGCGAATAGGAATGACAGATGCCGGCGAGCCGGCTGGCTGTGTCCAGGCTGGGTACTGAGCCCTTCCCCGGGGGGCCGGCCGAGTCACCGGAGCTCGGAGCCGCGGGTGATCGCCCTGGCTCGCAGCACCCCGCGGCGAGGACACGCGTGGGAAGCAAAACAGGCGGGAGGCAACGACGCGCCGCGCGACTCCAACTTTGCAAACCGCGCAGTGCACGGTGACCGCGGAGCAAACCGCACGCCGCGGAAACCCCGGTGTACCCACCGCGCCCCGCAGCCACGGGGAAGGGCCCCGGGAGCGCCAGTACCCCTCGCCACGTCTAACCTCGGGGCACAGCTTCCCGCGCAAGCCGGCGGCCTCAAGCGCCCGGGAGGGAAGCGAGCATGTGGTCCCCGCCGTATTCTCCTCCGGCTCTTTCTGCCGGGTGACCCCAGCCTCCCCCTGCATCACCTCTCACCGCGGGCTGCGCGGAAGTTCCGCCGGCGGCGGAGAGCCGCGCCGCAGGTGGCAGGGGCTCCCCCGCCTCCGCTGATGCCTCCCAGGCACTTTCGGCGCGACTTGTCCTCCCCGTGGACCAGCCGCCGGCAGCGGAGCGATGCCCGGGGAGTGGAGGAGGAAGAGGGAAGGTGCGCGCCCCGCGGTGCAGCTCTGGCCGGGGCAGGTGCGGCCAGCGACCCCAGGGACGGACGGGACGGGACGGGAGGAGAGGGGAGAGGGTCGGTACTCACACGAAGGCGTGGTAGACGAAGGCCCAGCCGCGGGGCCGCTCCAGCACGTTGTACAGGTAGTTCTGCAGGCGGCGGTACTTGGCGTTCCGGCGGCAGCTCGGCCCGCTGCTGTACGACAGCGGCTTCCCCAGTAGGCTCATGCGGGCGCCGTGCTTCCCTCGGCGGCCCTCCCGCAGCCCGGCGGGGGCGGCCGCGCCGCCGGTGCCCAGGAGCAGCAGGCCGTCGCCGCGGGCCGCCGCGCTCGCCAGCGCCCTGCCCCGGCCCGACTCCACATCCTTCATGCCCGCCGCCGCTTCGCTCTTCACCCAGAGCCCCGCGGAGCTGCCCTCCTCCCCGCCGCCGTGGTTGCGGGGCATGGCATCACCCCGGGAGCCGGGGCCGCAGCGGAGCAGGGCGCGGGCGGCGGCGGCCAGGCACTCCGCGGCGGCGGGCCGCAGGAGGCAGCGGGGGGCGAGGGTCTCCGGGCGGCGCCCGCGGGGCGAGGGGGCGCGGGCCACTTTGGGCTCTCGGCACGGCGGGCCGGCCTGCGGCAGCTTCGCGGGGGCCCCGGCGAGGGAGCGGGCGCCCCCCCGGGCGCACTCTCCTCCCGGGCGGCGGCGCCCCGCCGCCGGCCCCCGCAGCGCCGCCCGGCGTGGTTCCGCGGCCCGGGACTGGGCGGAGGGAAGAGGGGGCAGCTCCGCGCAACGCTGGCGGAGAGGCCGCGGGGGCGAGGGGGGCTGCGGGCCGCGGCTCGGTGGTGCCTCTCGCTTCCCTCGTCCTTCTGCCTCCCGCGTCCCTCGGCCCGCCTGGGCCGGGCAAGCTGTTGCTCTCGCTCTAAACGGCTGAAAAAGTCAGCAAGAAAGGCGGGCAGGCGGGGGCAGGCGGGCTTCGCGTTGCCGGGCTCCTTCGCGTCCCGGGACTCAAGCGGCAAAGGCAGCGGCGGTGCCCGCGGCTGGGCGGCAAGCGGGCGGCGGGACCCGGCGCCCGTGGGCTACGCGTGCTCCCAGGAAATGTCCATTTAAGTCCGAGAAAGTAACAAAACTGCCGTAAGCATCGGAGGCGGCGGCGCCGGGGAGGCTCTGCCGGCGGCGGGACCCCGCTTCGGGCGGGGAGCGTGGCCGTCCGGGCGGGGCAGCGCAGGCGAGCCGCTGGGTGTCCCCCGAGGGGGCGGCGCAGCCCGACAAGCCGCTCCGGTGCTTTCGCCGTGCCCCGGTCCCGCGCGATGGCGAGAGGGGGCTGTCCCCCCTGTGGGCTGCCCGCTGGTCCCTGGCAGCTTTGGCGCTGTGCGGCCGGAGTGCAGCGGTGCCGCAGCTCGGTGCCGGAGCAACGCCGAGAAAACAAAGCTCCCCCTGCCGAGAGCGGGCCTTTAACTCCGCTGCATCAAGGTGAGCTTGCGGAAAAAAAAAAAAAAGTCATCCACCCCACCACGCCGCAGGCGCGGCCACTCCGCGCCTCCCCGCCCGGAGCCGGAGGCACCCGCGCCCCTTCGGCCGCCTCCTATTGCCGGTGGTAATGCTTATGGCACCCCCCGGACACCCCCCCCCCCCCCCACCTCCCCTCCTGAGCCCCGCGGCTGCCTGCTGCTGGTGCCGCTGCCCGGTTCTGGGGATGCCTCGGCAGCCGCGGCTGCCCGGGCACTTCAGCACCGACTTCATGAGATACAGCTGCGTGTCACTGGTTCTGCGGCTGGAGCACAGCGATGTGAAAATTTGACGCTAATTCGTGAAGGGTTAATGAAAAGTAATAATGTGGACGCTAATGTTTTGCGAAAATCAGTAGAGGCATTCAGGAATGCAATTCAATTTAAATTTTGTTTTCCTCGTACTGGCTAGTAAGAGGCCAGGCTCTCAAGCCTTTGGTAAACACACCATTTCTAACTTCCAGAAACGAAGTACGCAGTGAAGAACATCTCACATTGTGGCTGTAAGCATTAATTTGTACCTGCACTCAAGCGACATGGAAACATCAACAGTAGTAATTTATTTCTACGGCGTCTCTAGGGCCATTCAATCAGTTGTTTTTAAACAAAGAGCTTAATCTTCGCCCTTTCTTCACCGAACTTCCTCCTCCGCTGCAGGCAGCTTCAAACAAGAATTTTCTAACATGGGAACTGCAGAGGCCACTCACGCTGGTGTTAAGGGATGGCAGAAACAGCACACATGTCAAAACAGATGTTAAGTAGTTGATACAAGTATCCACAGCAACCCCATTAATATTTAAGCTTTCCAGTGGCACATATCAACTCCTCTTTCTTTGAATTGTAAATTGAGTTAGTTAATCCTTCATTTACTACTTGTTTGCATTTCCCTGCTTTGAGATGCAAATGTTTATACTCTTCATTTTTCTCATCCCGATGTACTCATTTACAGGATGTGTAGCATGCCTTTCACATCAGCTGGGCCACCAGATCCACGCTGAGATTTAAACTCTACCGGCCTTAGTCACTTGGGTACAATATTTGAGGGTTGGTACTCAAGTTCCAGAAAGCTGGAACCATGGTCTAGCCCTCTCAGTTGGACCCCTATCAAACAAGCACTCATGCCCAAGCTCCATTTAATTGCTATGCGTAGACAGTGGTGCAGCTTGAAGCAGCAGGCATGCATCATTCTTGTTAGGATCAAGGCTTTAAACTAGGGATTTGGACACTGGACTGTAAAAATTACTGAACTCCTGTTCCTGGTGTACTTTTTGTGACCCACTAAGAAATATTGTTATAATTCTGTGCCCTCTAGTGGTGCTTAAAATCATCTATTAATTTAAATAATAGTAAGGAAAGCAGCCTGTGAGCGCATATAGGATGGGCCAATATTGGAATGTAGCCACAGATGCCAGGACAGTGAGAGGTAAACATACCTAATAATCTTGGTGATTAATTAAGCATTTTATTTTCACAGTGTGTGAACAAATGAATTTTCCCATTTATTATCTTTTATTATGAAAAGAGATTGATGGTCATTAATCTAATCCCTACTTGTTAATATGTCAGATAACCAGGGCAGGATATGCTGAGTAGTTCATTAGCATCCAGGCAGCTGCCTGCCATATACCAGGTAAAGGGGCTGGTCCATGTAACAAAGCTAGTCCCCCTTAAAGTATTAATTGCAAAATACAGGTCTACATTTATGTGACAACAAACTCCCCTGATATTTTGGCTTCAGACTATATAATACCTACAGAGATGACTCTTGTGAAATTCTAGCATGTCCACATGGTCCAAGGTCACCTTAGGTTCAAGTGTCAGTAAGAGGATCTACCTGACGGAATCTCCAAAGCAAGAACATCCCAAGGAATCTTGACTTCTTGAGGCTGCAGGTGGGATGAGGAAAATGGCACACCAAAGTGCATGTGGGGAGTAGCTATTACTGTGCTTTATGGCAAATGCTAGCAACATACTCTTTCAAAATTGTAAATCACGTTTTTTAAGGTCATATTGCTCTATTCCAAATGCATACATAAAATGTTATATACCCTGATTTGTGGAAGGGTCAGCTGATACATATAATCCTTTCTCATCAGGAACACAATGTTACATATGTTTGGGATTTTCAGTGTTTTCTTTCCAGTGTGTTACTTGTGATATGCTGTCTTAAATCAGTGTTCCTGGGTTCTATTTTAATAAAAGGGAGGAACAAATTTCAACAGTAGTGATATTCATTTATTCCCTTATTTAAAATAGAATATGTTTTATAACAGCATGTATACTTCTTTTCTAAGACATTACTAATGCAGTTTTGGGGTTAGCCACACTAGAAGTTAAAGCAGGCCTTCACAAGGACTAAATTTGCAGATAAGTAGTAGTAATATTGAAATGCACTGCTGTAATCATGGTACAGGGTAGATAGGTAGATAGATGATAGATAGATGATAGATAGATAGATAGACAGATAGATAGATAGATAGATAGATAGATAGATAGATAAAGAAGAACCTTGTTACGGGGCAAAAAAAGAAGGAAACGATCAGTTAGGTTGGAGGACAGTGGCTGGAATTCAGGATGTCCAGTTCACTGCCTTGCTCTGTACTGCAGGGCCAGTCAGCAGCTGGAGCCTGGCCACATCAAGCCTAAAGTACCTGAGCATGTAGCTGCTTCAGATCAGACAGATGCTTACTGAGCTGCAGAAAACCAGTTGTGTGCCTGTATGCAGCTTTTAGTATTTACATGGGTTTTAAAAATCTTTCTTTGCGCCTCAATTCCATCTCCACCACAGGGGGTGATAGCAATTCGTTCATAGAGAGAGGGGCTGTTAGCATAAATTCATGGAACAGTGTGAGATGCTGTGATACTGCAAAGGGGGAATGGTGCAAATCACGTGCATACACTGGCTGTTTTAAACAGAAATGCAGTCAGAGTGCAAGCTGGAGGCCCTTTGTAGCAATGCTTTGCAAAGGTCAGTTTACCATGGTATCATGTTTTGAGTTCATTTGAGTTGCTTGTTAATAACCTTTTTTTTTGCGTTACATAATACTTGTGAGGTATCATGTAAGCTCTAGTTGTGCATCTCTTTGTAAGATTTTTAGCTTTCTGCCTAATTACATGGAGGAGGGGACACACAGCTATTCTTGGTGACAAGCATACGAGAGTCACGAATAAGTTTTCAAAGCACTTATGTGTTAGGAGCAATTAATTTGCTTTGTGAATGTATTGTGTGTCCTGTAACACATGGTATGCATCCCCAGGAAACCCCAAATGGAACATTGCTATTGCATAATAAATCATTAACAAAATGTTAGATGAGGTGAATAGCATATTAGGATGCATATTACAAGCTGTCTAGTCAGTGCATGTAACACGCTAGCAGCTGTAGCTGGGCTTTGATGTTAATATTCCAAAATATTGGAATATTACATACATCACATCAGTATTCCAAGATGTCGTAATATTTTCCTGCAAGCTTTTTTTCACATAAATAACAGAAGCAAAACTGTCTGTAGCATCAGGCATTCACATACTGAGTGCAGCAGAAAGGACTACCCAACCTTCCCAAGCATTCCTCATGAGATCTTTTAACCTTGAACTTGAGGAACTACCTTCAAAAGTGATTTCATTTTGATGTCCCTTTTATGTGTTGATCTTGCTGTTAGACTGCTACAAGGTTGCTAACTCTGAGGAAGACCTGTCTCCACAAAAAGCTGTCCTGAGACCACCCATTCATTCCAAGCAGACTATGGCTAGCACTGATAATCACTCTGAGTTACGACCATCACAGGCTAAAATATAATTGGAGTACAAGACATGGATGCCTTCCTCGCAGTACCTGTGCCTTCTTAGCCAGAGGCGTGATAGGAACAGACACTTCTGCCTGGTGATTACGTCTGTAAAAGCCAGGGCCAGCTACAAAACTGTTTCTAGCAGACCCTTACTCTGCCAGGAGCTGTTTACTCCCACCCAGATAGAGGACCAGTTTGGCCT